AACTTTTTACATATGTTAACATTAGTTTTCCCCTATTTGCTATATTTTAGATAATACAGTAAAACATATGTAACTTTGTTTTTGCAAAAAGCCATAGATCCATTTAAAAAAAAAAAAATTATATGGAGACGGATACTACGAGTGAGTAGATGCTAAAACAATTATTTGTTTGGTGATAAAATCTATTGTTTTTGCTACCTAATAAATTATTAGACCTTAACTTTAGGAAATTTGACCTAGAATACTGTTATTAAGCAATAAAAGTACATACTCTATTTTGTGTGCGTAGAAACCGTTCTTTTTCGTAGGTAATTTTAGTACTGTTAGTGAACTATTAACCCCTTGTAGGGAAGAACTCGATATAAAGCGAAAATAAGAGGCTGTTTACAGTCTGTTTGCTGCAGAGGGAGCTCCTGTTAACTTTTCAGTTCAGAAATTTAAAAATGCATACTTTTCAGGTATTATACACAAATTAGTATAATTCAGCCACATTAAACAAAAATTGCCACTGTACTTAAAAAGGGGTTTTAAAACTAAGTGACTTTTTTTGTATTTCATATGAATATTGGAAAAAAACCTACTTTCAAGTAGAAGGAAGATAACCTTTGGACCATAAAAACAGCCATTTAGACCACAGTGCAAAATATCGATTTTTTCGGCCCAAGGTTTTCTTTGATTTATTTTGGAAATTTTTAAGGATATTTGCAGCTGCAATGCGTGCCATATTATTTATTTTATCTAAAAAAATGATGCCGACCTCATTATATGGATTTTTTGGTGCTGATTTGAAGTGTATTTAGAAAATTTTTCTAGCATGTCCAGTTTTTGAGAAAAAAAAACTATTGAACTGTCGAAAAGCTTCAAAAAAGGCGAATTTCAAAACAAAATTAAAAATATAATTTGAAGGTTGTTTTTTCCGAAGAAGAAAACCACGTATTAATGAAAATCCAATACTTCTGATAGATTCTACCTCATGTCGATGGATTGAGTAGAAAGGGGTGGAAAAATAAAAAAAAAAAGTTTGTAAAAAAACACTCGCGACTAACATGGCGAACGATTATTGCTGACTATTGCTAGACCTTGAAAAGCAATGATAACGCGATCAAAAGATTGGCGAAAACGAGTGCATGCTATTGATGAACTAAGTTTTTTTTTTTTAAATTTTTCACTCATTTCTAATCAACTCTTCGACATAAGGTAAGGAATCCATCAGACGAATTGGATTTTTATTAATAACTGTTTTTTTTTCTTCGGAAAATCTCCGCCGAATTCTATATAAAAAAAATTGAAATTTGCCATTTTTGCCATTCTTCGACACTTTTAACAGTTTTTTTTTTTCAAAAATTGGACGTGCTAGAAAAATGCACTTCAAATCAGGACCAAAAAATCTAGAAGATGAAGTCGGCCTCGTTTTTGTGGTAAAACAAGTACAAAGTTTTATTGCACCGTGTTATTGAAGAAGACGATCTTCTTTCTTAGATTTTTCTTCCAATGTCTTCGACCTAGAACTCGCAAATAATACCATTTTAGGAGTGCATATTGGCTATGATTAAAATGTCAATTCTCTGAGATTTTTTTTATTGGAAAAAATTTTCATTGCTTGCGCCAATGAATTAGGTTCTTACGTTTTCGTGTCGCTGTAATACGTGCATATCTATGTATGTAGATGTTACCTGCATGAGGATATTAACTGGTGAGTTCTCGGTTCTATTTTCACAAAAAAACACCCATAATTTTTTAATGGATATAATTTCGGGCATTAATCTTTGATTCAAATTTGACTTCTTAATTTCTAACCTTTATCTGATTTTTGTATGAATCCAATCAAATTTTTTGAGAATTTTTTTTTTTGGTAAATAGCATAAATTTGTATTACAAACATATATGTAGAATATATAAGCTTCTTCAATAAATAAAATACAAAAAATAAATAAAACAATAATCTTATAAGCAAATACAAATCTATACCCTTAGTATTAGCGCATTTGCATATACATACATACATACATACATACATGCCTATATGTATACAACCTTTGCATACCTACATACATACATAAATAGTTACTTAGCATACATAGTATATAAACATATTTGTTTTACCAAATAATAGCTACAAATAGCGTACATATAAAAAAAACTATAACTGCGTGGCATTGTACGTAAATGAAAAAGAAATACTAAGTTAAATATGTATTTAGGCAGGTACCCGATATTGTACAATGTTTATTGTTGATGTTATGTTGGTTTAATGAAAACGTGAAATCATAAATTAAATTGAATACAAATCCAATTAAAAGTATTTATTTAAATAAAAATAAAGTAATCAATTATTGATGCTTAAAGAAATGAATAATACAATAAAAATATATACAAACAATTATCTTGTGATTTAATTGTTGCAGGAAATCCGTAAATTTCTTAAATTAATGCGTTTTTCCGCCTTCGTATCGATGAATTGCGCAGCGCTATGCATGAGCGGAATTTGCATAATCGGAAATAATAATAATTTGTACCGCATTTCCTCTTACTCTGCATATGCCTAAATGTATGCAATCATTTGCAATAGCAAGTAGACACAGGGTGCTTCTAATGAAAATACAATTTTCTGCTGCAATACACAATTTGGGAAATTTGGAAACAACCGTATCATGCTGTGCAAAGGCGCATCTCCTAGTTCCATCCTTTGTGCATTTTTAGGCGCAGTGCTACAAAAAGGAAACGCTAGCAGAAGGTTGCAAATTCGCAGAGTGCACTTGATAAGTTTTTTATTTGCCGTTATTGGAATTATTTTTTTGGTGATGCATTTCCGAACGTTCCTTTTTGCAATTCGCAAACATTTTTTATGATGCATTTCCGAACTTCTTTTTTGGCAGTTTGCTTTTAATAAGGTTTTTAATTGACAATAACAATCGCGGCGTCAAGTTTAAACAGCGGCAAATCAGCCCATCGAAAATTTCTTTGCAAATTTTACTTCTACCCAAATCAAAGATGTATGTATACACATTAAACAAACTTATCATTCGAAATCTATATCTAAGTTGACGAATTTAGAACTAGTTCGGAACTAAAAAAAAGGGAAAGAACGAGCTAGATCTCATCTATCGAATTTATAACTACCACGGAACTATAGAAAAAGGATGCAGGGAGATGCTTGCTTAATTTAAACTGATATTGTTAGGCATTTTTTTCGTTGAAGTACGCTTTCATTCTACACTTCACAGGTGCTTTTTCATAGTTTGGTAATACAAACAAAAATTTGTATCAGGATTATAACACTTTAGGAACTTCTGGAATCTAACCGATAACAGCAAGCACATCTCCACTCTCAGCTACAGCCGAAGGTAAGTAAATAAAATTCTTAGTTGAATTACATTCTTTCAAACGAATTTGATTCCCAATTGAAAACAGATTTCTTTGAAAATAATTTAAAACCGCTACCATGTGAAAACCTCTCGCTCTATTTGAAAAAATCATGTTAGGACTGGTTCAGAACTATCGAAAAAGGGATTCAGCGGGGAGCAACTGATACTTCGTAGAACATCGCAAACCAGTTTGGTACTTGCTGCATTTTGCCACAGGGTACATGGTTGTTATTTATGTATATGTGGATTGTCTGTAGGGTGTATGTATTAATTTATTAAATTTCGTTGTATAAATGGCGGTATTTTAAATAGTTTATCAAAGTGGTGGATGTCGATATATGTGAATTTATCGAGGATGTGGTCATGTCATTTGGATAAGCATTGCAGTAGTTACAGGCGTTAGACTGGTTGTTTTGTCCATTAAATGTTTATGTGTAAGTCTAGTGTGCCTCAATCGCAGCCTGATAATTTTTTTCTTGTCTTTTCCAGATAGGGATTTGGCGTTAATTTTAAGATATTGATTAATTGTTCGATAGCTGTGCGAGTTCTTTTTGTACCATTGTGAGAGGTTTTTGTCTGTGTTTGAGTATTTTTGTGAGAACTTTGCTTTTGGCAAGCGCTTTGGGTCCAAGAAAAGTATGTTTGGTGTGACTGAGAGAGGAGCGTTTTTCGCAGCAAGGTCGGCATATTCGTTGCCCGATATTCGCACGTGACCAGGGACCTATGTATATGAGTTTAACCTTATGCTGGTTTTCTAAAACATATGTAGCTGCGGACTGAGTTAGTGTAGAAGTTATTGTTGTTGGCATTTTTTATTGCGTCCAGCGAAGAGGCGCATTTAATGGCTTAGTAAATACTTATTAGCTTTTTTTTATATTTTGACTTCATTTTCGGATTCAGCGGAAAATTTTACACATAAAATGATGGCCCAATGCCACAGGTTGGATTTCTCGTCGACATACCATCGCACACCTTTAAATTGTTTTATGCCAAAAATGCCACCAATTTTTTTTTTTTAGTTGTGACTCATTTGAAGAGGTGGTGCGACATATAGACTGTCTTTTCTGCATATGTTTATGTCATCTTCATACCTAGCACAGGGCTTTGAAATTTAACTTTTTCTCGTTCCAATAATTGTTATTTTTTTAATATCTAGATATGTTAAATTAAGACAGAGTCTTGTTTTTTTGCTAGTTAGTTTTTTAAGGGGGAAACCATCGCAGGTCTGTCTAATTTATTACTATTCGAAAACCAATATTTACTAAAATTTAGGAGCAATTTTTTTATAAAACGTTTTAACCCGTTAACGACTAACACAAAGGATCCTTTTTAGGAAATAAATTAATGTTAAGGTCTCGTAACCCAGACATCTAGCCAGAGACACGTGGTATAGTCATGATCTATGTTTATATGTATGTAGGTATCTCAGCCACCCGACGGCCAACACACTGCTGGGTTAATCACAAACAGATGGGCAGAAGTTTGTCAGAGAAGCAGCTTCTCTCTCTCTGCTTTTATTTTTCAATTTTGGGAGTACAACGAAGAGCATTTAGAAAGTTTTCTTTGCTATAGTGCAAAGTTTGCTCAACATTTGCGCACTCATACCCACTGCTGATATCTTTTAACTTGGAAGGTTGTGCTGCTGCCTCAGATAGGAATGCGAGTAAGCGCAGACGCCGGGTTGTTTTCAGCCTATTTATGCAGAGTATGTGCCATGTCTGGTGGGTTGTTTAATATGTATAGAAGCAACAATATAGTATGGAATTGGTACGGTTACGTTTAGACTGGTTATCGCTCAGCTGTCAGTTTTCCGTATATTGCCGACGGTAACAGTTGAAAATCGTATTTCGAACGCGCGACGTGAATACCCGTACATACATACATTCAAGAAAAATAAGGCGGTGTTGGTTTTTTATATTTTATGGTGGAGTGGGACGCAAAAAATAATTAAAAGCAACCAACCTATTCGAAGCAAATCGCGTGGCGTAAAATACCTCAAGAAATAAGAAAATATATACGAATTTTAAGCAGGTGATTCACTTTATTGTGATTTCAATTGCGTTAAATCAATATACCTAAGAACCAAACAAACAAAAAACATATTTTATAATGTGCAAAAAATATGTAGATATGTATATTTACATTTTGTGCTTCGATTTTTTAAATTCCTTAGCAGCCGCAATTATGTAAGATTCTTTGGCAATAAGCAGTAAAAACAAAAGGACAAGAGGTCGATGGCAAAAACGATGTATGGATTGCACTTATTGGTACCCATGTACATGTGTGTGTATATATGTATACCTGTTTGTGCATATTAGAACATATACATACTACATATAGTTTTTTTTTTTTGCTTTATAAGCCTTGCCTTTAAGTGCACTGGATATTGACTTTGGTAATACCACTTGGAGTCCGCGCCCATTCGGCGTTTGCCGACATACAGCTGATCCGAGAGTATAGATACTTATACGTTCATACCGATATACATACATACAGTGACTCAAACAAGTGACCACAAGTTGATTTTTTAAATCTGAATGGTCTTTCGCATTTTATTTCATAAGAAATTTATGATTATATCGAAAAAAGTCAAAAATTCATCAGCAAAAAAATATATAAAAAAACAACGCGATTTTTTATCCGGTTGAAACTTGCAACAAAAAATTGTATGGGCAATAAAACTGCATAACCATACAAAGTTCTATAGGCTCAGATTAAAAGGTTTGACATTTTGATGAAAATTTTTTGAATTCTCCCTAATTTTATTTAAAGCTTAAAACTTTGATTTATAAGGTTCTGGTTAAAGCTTGTACAATATTTTTATAGAAAAATATCAAAAATTATTTAACTTGAAAAACATTGTGAATATTTGAAAATAAAATTAAAAATCCACACATGGTCACTTGTTTGAGTCACTGTACAAACAAATATATGTACGTATGTATGTATGTATGTATGTATGTATAAGCATTGAATATGATAAGAGCCACTAAAAATTGCTGCTGCCCGCGCATTCCTTTGCAAATCAATAGGCATTGTCGTCTTATTCTTTAGCTTTGCTACTTGTAAATGACAAAGAATAAAAAGTGAAACTCTTCGAAAAATATATATTTTATATTATACATAAATACACAAAGAAATAAAAAAATTATTATTATTATAATCTCAAAACCTATGCGTATAAATACAGGGTGGTTCAAGCATGCGAAACGGGGGGCTTATACATATATTACAACAATATACGGAAATGTGTGCTAAAAGAGAGACGAACCCGTAGTTTCCCGCCCAATCTAGAAATACCGACCGACGAAACATGCATTTCTTGGTAAAAAATTTTTTGGAAATATATCAGATTTTTAATCACAATGGAAAACCCGTACCTATTTTTTTTTGTATGGGGAGTGATGCAGTCTAATATTGTATATATGTACATGTATGACAAATTTGTTTCGATTATTTTTAATCAATATTTTATGGTTTTTCTTTTTACGATACGATATTTTGGCTTTTCGAGCATTTTAAATCGTTAGTTAATACTAAATTAAAATCCCAATGTTCATATCGTCGTTTAAAGTACAAAACCGCGTATCGTCATTCTGCAAAATCGCCTAACCGACATTGGCTGCCAAAAATTTGATTTGCTCACACAAGCTCTTGGCTCAATCCTTAACCATTCGTCCTGAAATATACTAGCCAGAAATGCGATTGCTTTATAAAAAAGAGAACCATTTTGAAATATGAGTGTTTTTACCCTTTTAAAAAATAATTTCTAAAACTTCACATACGCGGTTTTGCATTTCGCTGATACGCGGTTTTGCATTTTGTTGATACGCGGTTTTGCACTTTAAACGACGATATGTATGTATACCAATTTATACGACGACTTATAAGTTAGCAATATTTGCCACAACTAGGCAATAACGTAAACAAGTGCAAATAAGGTCATTAACCATTAAGGTTGACAATGATGAGTGAAATCATATTTCATAGATAATTAAAATTCATTATTTTCACTTTAAAGTAAACCTGTATTTGAACCACCCTTTATGCATACATAGGTATTTGCTTATGAACGCGGAGCGAATTGTTTACACGTATTAAATTCTCTTGAAGCATTAGACCAGGTTGAATTTTACCTGGACTCTCGCTCTCTCTAACGCAAGCGTTCTCTCACACAAACTTGCACAATAGTACATATCCCTTAACTACATACAGCAGAATTGTCAAAACATTTAATGTATCTTAATTTAATCGTGAATTTATAAAAATATAAAATACCTTTCAAAATTTTCATTTTTCAAGTGTCCCTTAAAACATAAGCCGCCCGAACAGCCCCACTGCCCACGCACATACATACTATAGATACGCTAAATATGTCATCAACTGCAACAACAACAACTGCGGTCGCCACGCCACTGCCAACCATCGATATCGATCAACCCAAATATGACCAAAGCACATATCTAAATCGTGCCAAACATTTCTTCCTGCTCACCAATCCACTCAATATTTTGGCCAGCGATGACGAACTGGAGCGCGCAAAACGTATTATTCACAATTATCGTGCCGGCAAGCCGGTGCCAGAGTGCAAAAATGTTGAGGAATTGTGGCGCGCCAAATACTTGTACGATTCAGCATTTCATCCCGATACTGGCGAGAAGTCACTAATCATTGGTCGTATGTCGGCACAAGTGCCAATGAACACTTTGATTACAGGATGTAAGTATGTATTTTGTATAAGTAATCTTACTAAAATATTAATAAATATACTATTAAGATGAACTTTTCATTGCTAGCAGACGAACTAACAACCTTGACTTCATGTAGATTATTTGTTTGCAAATTAGCTGATAGTGATCATCAATATAAAACACATTACGCCATGAATAATCAAAAGTATGCCGGAGCGAATGTCAGTTTTTATGAGACAGTAATAGAAAATTTTCTAGACGATGATTTTTTTTTTTTTAAGTGGCGTAAGTCACTTCCCAGCTCTTGTGCTTATATGACCGGCTAGTTGTAACCGAATGCATTTGCAATTCGTTCTATCGTCGTAAACTAATAAACTAAAGGCAAAACCTTCTGCTATTGGTTGATGAAGTTGATCGATTAACCGATGCGTTCACATACCAGTAATCGGTCATTTAAGTACAAGAACTGGGAAATAACTTATGCCACTTTCAAAATAAACGGCGCATTTGTTGAATAGAAATCCCAATAAATTTTATTTCCAGTTTTTAATGCGTATATTTCACAAATGCTACTTTGGCATTATCTATAAATTATGGAAGGCAACTGGTAATTCTCAGGTATGGAATCATACAGACTTCCAGACTTTCTAATGAGGTGGTTTTCAATTCAAATTCCTTTAGATATCGCTTTAGTGTACATATGTAGTAGCTACTAACGAATGGAAGTTGCTGAGAATGAAAAGGCGAAAATATGACTCCTTAAAGGAATTATAAAGGCATACATAACTATTGACACATTTATCCACCATATTCTGAGCATCAACAAGATTGTAGCAGAAGCAGTAAATATCATCAAGAGGCAGAATCTTTTAAGCATTTTTTCTGTTTGGTACTTCGAAGGTTAAAATAATGTAATGCGATTTCGCCGTATAAGCTCAATGTATTCGGTAAAAAATTTGCTTAGTTTTAGAATAATTTTTCTATCAAGTTTCTTAAATTTCAGACCAATTTTCTTGTACCATTTTAATTTCCTTGATATTTTTTATTTCCTAAAAAAATACTATGTTGTACACAATCGACACAGCTGAAGCATTGAAGTGGGAGAAGAGACCGAGTGCGATATGGAGAGGCTATAGCAAATCCGGTTACCGAGTTTCTGATGGTTAAAGGCCCCGCCAGATTGAAATTCTTTTCTGCGTCACAGGGATGCCTTTGACTGACAAAACGCACAGAAGATGCCGACGTGGCACAATGAAAACGTTGCCGCAAACAAAACGGGTCAATTTGATTGGTCAAAAATCAGCTGGTTTGAATTCGTTCTATACATTTTTGTTATTAATGTTGGTTTGCCGCATACGCGTGCATCAAAAGTTGAGAGTTGGGCAAATTTTATCAGTTGCGTCAACGCATGCGTTGCCCATGTGGCGTCTTCTATTCGAAATCACAGAGTTGACTTGGATGTCAGTCAAAAGCATCCCTGTGACGCAGACAAGAATTTCTATCTGGCGGAGCCTTAAGATATACAAAATGTATTTGCGATAGTTTCTCTAGTGTGCGTTTCCGGGAATAGAAACATCGAAGGCAATCAGAAAACTAATGAAGTGGCAAAATCAGGAGTCTGTTTGGATAAATTCGAAGCGGTGGCTCTAGTTTGACCTCTTGGAATAATCTAAATAGAAATTACTCTGTGTTGCCTTGGACTGACTGAGAAAGGATGTCAGATAAATATTTCGTCGCTTAAACTACAAAACCGCGTATCGTGGCATTGGAAAACCTCATAACAAAAAGGATATTTGATCACCTGGCATCAAGCCCTTATCCATTCATACTAAAATATCGATACTTTGAAATAAGAAGCAAAGTTAATTAGGGAAACCCGTTTTAAAATTAGACAAGTTTTACTCTCTCCCCTATAATACAAATTTCCGCACCTGTCAGAAGAAGCCTGCTACTTGGAATTACTGCAACCAACTAACCAACAATTATTGCTCAATACCATGCCAACTTAGTCGGTAGATATTTACTACAAAGCATTCTTAGTTACTATTTTAGTTACTTGTTACCAGAGCAGACGGGGATATGTAAATTTTGATTTTAAATTTATGTTTCTATAAAAAATAGATCAAGTCACAAGATATAATGGTCCAATAGTCAAAACGAATTACTTAAAATTTTCTAAAAGGTACCTCTGCCGACCTTGTCGGATGTATATACATATTATTTTGATACAAGCTCGTATCGAAACCAATTTAATTTGATTTCAATCATTCAATTTGTGAAAGCCACTTATTCCGCGGTTGCTAGGTCAAACCACTTTCAAATATCACATTCGTGAAAATGTTATAGATACCAAGGGATCTCTTCCGTAGTAATGATCTGAAAATATCCCCTCTCAGAGTCAGCATTTAATGAACACTAAAGTTAAGTAAAGAAAAACCATTGCTTAACTTTTTAAAGAATGATTATGAAATTTTTTGTTTGTTTTCAATTTCGCTTACGTTGCTGTAACAGTCTCAATAGCCCAGTGAGCAGTGTTGGCAACCTTTCCTACCAGGTAGGTTTTTTCCATTTGGTAGGTTGGTACGCTAGATTGGATTTTGGTAGGTTCCGCGACAATAATAGTTATTTGCGAAAAATATAAAATATAAAATATGTATCTGCAAACTTTTTAACAACCTTGTTTACACGAATATTTCACCGGTGGAGTCCAACATTGTCCACCTTAGAGAGCCTTCATTGTAAGACTTGAGGAATATTACCAAAACTAACCTACTGGTATTTTAATGTGGTAGTAAGACCCGTTGTCACATATGCGGCACTGACCTTGTGGCCAAAAGCTACGCAAGTAAAGGCAGGTTCCACCTTTAGCAAGCTACACCGACTGGCCCACGTGGCCATTACAGGAGCTATCCAACGGATGCCCTTGGTGTCATTACAGGCATTCCTCCATTGTCTGTTTGAAAAAGAGGCCTGCTGGAGCACCCTACGACTGCCCAATATGATCAGCAAGAAAATTTGGGATCTTCGGGGTCATTTGGAGGTTCTAAAGCTATTTCTGGATAATCCTGAGCTATCCTTCTACAAATTGTACAAGGTTAGAATTCCTGAAAGGGACTGCTGTGAAGTGATAATAACCATGGTTGACGATAGGTCCCAATTAACACATACCCAACTATATTCCAGGCGAAAGTCTTCGCAATCGAAGTCTCTGTAGAGGGACAAATGGGGCCAAATTAAATATTTATTATGTCGGATAGTCAGGCAGGTTAAAGGCCTTAGACTCTATTAAAACGGCAGCAGGCTTGTGGAAAGCTGTAAAACTTTTTTGGACCACGCGGAAGCTCACAATAACATAACGCTGTGGTGGGTTCCGGGACATGAAGGGTTTAAAGGCAACGAAGGCTGACTGTCTCGTAAAGCGTGGAGCCCAAATGCACTTGCATGATCTCTAGCCATTTGTGAGCTAGTGGAGAAAACTGCAGAAGAGAGAACTGCGAGGAATTGCGCGCCAAGCGCTGAGTTAATTTACAACAATTAAATCAATTTCTGTATTTATGAAGATCCATTGCATTCACATGAATTGCTCGTACATATATTTTAATTAGCAACAATTCATTCTTCCAGTTGGTTACAACTTTACCAGCAAAAACTTGAACTCATTTGATCCAGGAACTAGTTTCAGAACTGTTTTCGATGACACTACCAAGAATTTCAAGAGTAAATGACACTATCAGGAGCGCTATAGTCCTTCAGAGTTGTAATTGGTCTTATTACTGACTTCAGCAATAATTACAATTTTCAATTAAATGGTTTCACAAGGCACTCTTCTATAACATTTACATATATGTATGTACATATCGTCGTTTAAAGTACAAAACCGCGTAACTGACATTGGCTGCCAAAAATTTGATTTGCTCACACAAGCTCTTGGCTCAATCCATATCCATTCGCCCTGAAATATATTAGCCAGAAATACGATTTCTTTATAAAAAAAAGATAACCATTTGAAATATGGGTGTTTTTGCTCTACAGACAATAATTTATGCAACCTCACATACGCGGTTTTGCATTTTCTTGATACGCGGTTTTGTACTTTAAACAACGATATGTACATTAGGATGCATCATTTTCCATACAAAATAGGCGGTACTTTATTAAATTTTAAGACCTCCGCTAAAATATTTCGGAAAAATATTAAGATATACCTGAGTTGGATCCATTTGTAAATACCTCCAAAAATCCAATTTTTATAAAAAAATTTAATTAAAAAAATATTTTTTCGAAAAATCACCTCTTATAATAGAAGAGTTTAAGCTTAAAACGTCTACATAAAAATGTTGGAAAATTTTATCAACGGAATCAAAATATGTAATGAAAGTTTTAGAGGTATTTTTAGATCTTGACATTATTCTGGCGGAAGTCTTAAAATATAAAACATTTTATGATTCCGGTGGAAAAACCGCAATTTTTTTGGTATGGCACTCCATACATATTTGAGAGTAAATTAACTTCAAGAAGATTTTGTCAGGGAAAATTTTCTTCTAATTTGAAGTATACATATGTTTGTATATATGTATGTAATTAAATAAATTGTATGCAGTTTTAAGTTATCTTTGTTAATAAAACCCGCTGAATTGTTATTTTGCTTCAACTATTTTTTTTTTCTCATAGGCATGCTGTCGTTTTATAAATCCGTACCGGCCGTCGTCTTCTGGCAATGGGTCAATCAAACATTCAACGCAATTGTAAACTATACAAACCGTTCAGGAAAGACACCCATTTCTCAAGAGTAAGTGCCAAAGATCTTTATAATAATATTCTATATGTACTATACCTATATGTACATACACTCACACGTTCGGATATACCTACTTTTTTTCTTACTCTCGCTTTCATTTCGCATTTCATTGTCGTCATTTCATTGTTTGTCAGATGTGTTTATTTCAAAATACACACACGTATATATTTGGTATGTAAATATGTACAGATATGTATGTGTATACGGTGGAGAGATTGTTAATAGGGAAGAAAAATGTTAGCAGGTTTTGGCAATTTTTCTTTATTTAAAAAATTTCAAACTTTGTTGAACATTTATAAAAATTCGACGAATTTTAACAGATTTTCTTTAAAATTTCAAACTTTTTAATCCGATTTTTTTCGAATTTATTGAAGTATGCAGTTTTGTAGTCCATTCAATTTTAGCTTAGTTTATAAAGTGGATGTTTGAAGTAGAGAGGACTTACCGTTGATCGCTGCAATTTCTTTGTTCAAGCAATTTTTCTTTCATACAAAGTATGTTTGGCAATTTTTTTTTTGTATGGAGAAAATGGGAAACACCTTCGACAAAAAAAAACTGCTTAAGTGTTTTGCTAATTTAAGCGTTTGTTGGTGAGTTCGACAAATTCGTTTTTATATAAATACCTATATATAAATACCTATATAAAAATACAATCGCCGTTCGGAGTCGGCGTAAAACTGTAGGTCCCTCCGCTCTGTGTGACAACATCAAGGCGCACACCACAAATCGGAGGAGAAGCTCGGCCAAACACTAACATATGTGTAAGCGCCAATCTATTATTATTATTATTACCTATATATTTATGTATAATATGTATATTCACACACGACTATTTGTATCTACATATGTATATACAATGTACATGTACAATGTACACATTGTATATATGTATGAACATTCAATATGGTTCATTTTCGAAAATACTGACACAATTCAAAAACCGAGGTTTTTCAAAAGACGCGTTTAGAAATTTCAATTGACTCACAAAAAGCAGGAACTAGGTTATGATTATTATTTATTATATATGTATTAAACAGGGACCGAACAGTTATTTTTTTCAAAGGTTGAACTTGGCCAAATATTTTTGAGGGCCGAAATGAATAAACGCGTAAATGCCCCGTTAACGCGTAAATTTCGTAAATAAACCGGTTTTCCATTCAAAATTAAGTAAGTTTACGAGGTTTATGTGGTCAAGAGGCATTTAGATGAATTGCCCTAGTGTCTCAAAATTTCTTGCTAAAATCATTCGTTTCCGTTTGGGAAAATAGCGTGCATTTCTATTTTCTGCATAATAAACGGTTAATGCAAGTAAACAAAAATAACCGTTTGTTTTTTCAACGATTAAACTTGGCCAAATATTTTTCAAGTCCGAAATAAAAGTGCTTTTCTTTCAGTACTTTTTCATTGGATACCACACTCGTTTAATTTGGATAAGCGGTTTGTTTATTATCCGGAAAGGACTTTTATTTCGGATTTAAAATGTATTTGGACAAGTTTAACTGTTAAAAAGCAACTGTTATTTTCGGTCCCTGGTATTAACAGTTTATTATGCAGGAAACAGAAATGCATACTCCCAAGTGGAATGATTTTAGCAGAAATTTTAAGATACTAGAGCAATTCATCTAAATGCCTCGTAACCACATAAACCTCGTAAACTTACTTAACTTTGTATGGAAAACCGCTTTATTTACGAGGTTTGTGCGGTTACGAGGCATTTACGAATTTAGGTGAATACCCTTAATATAAAGAATACATAATGCATACAACGAGTAGATACTTAAAAGTAGATACAAAAGTAGCTCAAAAGTTCCCTTTTTGACTTGTGGCGGTTTTTTCGTAAATTAGCAATATGTATGTAGACATGTGTACATATATATTTATTATGGCTTTTAATGTTTCTCTTCCAGACAATTGCTTACTTCGTATGTATTGGCAACTGGTGGCGCCTTGACCACAGCACTCTCCCTCAACAGGCTAGTGAAGGTGAGTAGACAAATTGGCGATTGTGAGAAAGATATATATGTAGAACCCTGCAGAGGAAGCCGCTGGTACTACATACTATTTATACTATACTATACGACGTATCGACAAGTTTTGACTATTTATTAATTTTAATATTTTTTTTTTATATAAAAACATAGATAAGAAAAACCACATAAATCTAGGTTTAAAACTTTGTACAGAAATTAAAACAAGTAATTTTTAAGCAAAAAACAAAATTTAAGATTATCGTTAATTTCCTCATGATACAAAAATCGGATTTAAACCGAATCACGTCCACCTGTGAGGAAACACCTTTCCTTTAAAAAAGAATTATAGAAATCGGTTTATGTGGTCCAAAGTTATGCGGTAACATACATACAAAAAATAATAATACTCTGACGAATTGATAACCTTCTCCTTTTTATTAAGTTGGTTAAAAAAAAAAAACAAAGTTTCATCAAAATTTTTCACTTTTTATCTAGTCTGACCGAAATTATTCGATTAGTGACAGTTTTATAAAAATAAAAAATAAAATTTGTTATTAGAGCGGTTGAGTATTAAAAAACAATGTTTACTGAAATAAAAATCAACTAGTCGAAAAATCAATGATTACTCGTCTAGTTGAAAAGGTCGAAAGGAAACGGGTAGTCGATTAAGTGAAGTCGACTATTTTTTAAGCAACTTTTGCTATTTGATTAACCGGTTGGTCAACTAGTCGACTAATTATTAGCATACATTTTATAACTGCTGAAAATATTTTTAGGTGACATATGACCATTAAACAGAACAACTTTTAAATTTTGCTATTGAGTATTAGAGCAGAAAAGTGCACATAGTCATTTGGTGGGGTGAAATAATTTTGGTCGGGTGACATAAGGCCTTTATTTGCAATTGGCATTATAACCACTTCAAGTGGAAATATATAATGCCTATAGGCACAACACCCGGTAGAAATTATCACAATGTCAATTGATTTTTAAATTTCACTTTATGGCCATCTATGGCATTTTGGATCCCACTGTTAAAAAATTAAAGATACTAAATTCAAAGTTCAAAAAAAAAAAAATGTGTGAGTACATGAACAAGTTAAATGGTAGGATATGTCTGAAAAGAAGAAAATTAATATGTGTATATGTACATTAGAGTGGTCCAAAAACAGTAAAGTAGGAATTTTAAGGCCGCCACTCCCTAGGATTGTTATATACCACAAAAAAAAAAAAATTATTTTGAAATAAAAAAATATTTAAAAGTCGCTCAAAGCGCTCAAAGTTGTCCATGTATATTTTATGGGGAAAAAACAATGATTTAGAACTCCTGAAAATCTATATTTTTTCGATCGGAAGACCCTGGTTCTCTTTAGGAGACTTCCAATATTCATATCCATTTGTTTATTTAACCATTTTTAATACTAAAGATTTTTTATTGGTCACCCAATGCATTTTCTGGGGGTTTTAGCGGTCCTATAAAATATATTTACCTTGAAAAAATGGGGCTGCCTAGAAGTAAAACAAAATCACTTTGCACTCTATCAAATTCTATAACAAAACGCTTTATTATTCGAAGCTCGGCTATCTATTTACATGAGAATATAGCTCGGTGAATTATGTTAGATGTCTGATTAGTCTGTGTAATTTTGATAATTCATTACCTTATTTTAATTTAGTATAACAATTTGTTTTATTTCTTTTTGTATTCATTACTCAACACTATTTTTAATGTTTCAGAACTTGAATCCATTAATTGGTCGCCTGGTGCCATTGGCAGCGGTAGCCGCAGCAAATTGCATTAATGTGCCGATGATGAGATTGCAGTAAGTATTTTCCAATACTTATTCTGAATAAAGTACAAATATTGTATTTATACAGTAATTTCTATTGAATTTTTTAAGGGAATTGAAAAACGGCGTTACTTTGCTGGATGAAAAGAACAACGAATTGGGTGTGTCGAAGAAAGCGGCTGCTGCCGGCATCACTGCAGTGGTGGCTAGTCGAATTGCTATGGCTGCACCGGGAATGGGTAAGTTTACATTAGGGCGGGGCAGTTTGTATTTGAGATTTTTGCGACTATCACAGAAGGATTCTACGTGGAATTCTAAGCAAATTTGGAGTTTGCCAAATAGCGAAAATAGATTTCTTAGCATTTTGCTGTAGTGTCGTAAAGGAGTGCTTAAATTTTGTATAAAACATGCTATAAGAGGCTTTTTTGTAAGAGAAATCCATTTCTGCACTTATCTTAAAGCTTCCAACAGAGGGCGCAAAAGTGAAAATTTTCACATTTTCTTCTAAACCTATTTTTGGAATTTGGCTAACTTCAAATTGATTTTACACCCATGCCATGGATACTTCGGCAAATTTGCTTAGAATTGCACATAGTAAAAAACATTTTATTCACCCTAATGTACATACATATTTCTTAAATTGCAAGTTATAAATGCATACTTATTTTCCATCTTTTAATAGTGCTAACGCCCTTGCTGATTTCATCCTTGGAAAAACGTGGTCTCCTCAAACGCTTCCCCAAGGCCAGTGCACCCATTCAAACCCTTTTCTGTGGCTTCGTTTTGATATTCGCCACTCCGCTGGGATGTGCATTCTTCAGTCAACGTGCTTCGATTGGGGTTGGTTTAAAATTTGTTCCGCTTTTAACTCTATTCTTTAACACGAATTCACTTTCTATACACTTTCAGGTGGGCAAATTGGAAGAGGATGTGCAGAAAAATATTAAAAAACTGGATCCCGAGCTTACTGAAGTCTGGTTCAACAAAGGCTTGTAAACTTAGAGCTTAGCTTATTTGAAACTCTCTCTTAAGTGATTTTGCATTTCGAAAGGACAATAATACTTACATACATACTACATACTTGCATGCATACAAATGTATGTATGTAAATTCCATTTAATTTCTATGTGGTTAGCGCTGATAGTTGTGAAACTTCGTTTGAAGAAGAAAGATTACAAAAAGTCTTGGGCATTTAATCTTTTATTAACTACATTCTATAAATGCATACATTTTTATGTAAAGAATAATAACTGTGTATGTTTGAAAATACGCGTATTTATCTAAATTTAGTTGCATCTTATTAAAAGTAAATGTGTATACTCTGCTGAATTCCGATTACATTCGTAAATACATATTAACTTTGCATCGGATTTCTTTGGCGGTGCTTTGAGATGTGTAAAGAAATACCTCATTTAGCAAATTACATTTAATGTACCTACCATTCTTACTTAATCCTTATTTACTTCAACACCATATAAAGTTTTTACCTCCCTTTTTTAATGTATTTTAAAGGAATTTATTTAAGTATATAAAAACACAAAGTCTTGTAAAACGTACATAAATATGTTGTTACATAAAAAAATAAAGACTATTTTTGAATTAATGTTATTTCACTTCTGAACGCCTTTTTAACTAACAGCCCAATTCTATGCACTTTATAAATTCAAAATTTTTACGATTTTTAAATTATTTTATTCAAGATACTTATATGGAATCTCCACTAGGCATTAAATGACAATTTTTTAAATGGCATACATTTTTTGAAATTTTAATGCCTAGTTGAAATTTGGCATTAGAGTAGAACTCCATTGTTTCAGCCGTTTGTATGAAGTTCAATACCTACATTTCTCATAAAACCTGTAAACATCGTAAACTCACGTCCCCGTAAACCATCTGTCAATATATGTATATCCAGGTCACAAATTCAATCATCAAAATTAGTGCGTAGACTTAACTAAAACGGTGTTCACATGAAGCGATTTTCATGGCAGTTTTAGAGGCGCTTAGTTGAATCAAAAGTTGGCTAGACGCTAATTTCATTGGAAGCGATCAGTTGAAAGGCCAGGCGATTGTTGCTTTCAACTAAAAGTTTCCTTTAAAATCGCCGTATAAGGGTAAAATTAAAATAAATATTTTCAAATTTATCTTATTATCACTTTTCCCTTAAATATTCCGCACTAGTAAATCAAATGCGAGATTTTTTTTTTTAAAGTGTAACAAATGTCATGTAACACTCTCATAACTTTATTGAGCGATTTCTGGGATACCCGAATGACAGTGTATATCGATGGCTAAGTGAAAGATCGACCTATCTCGGTAGCCAATTCGAAAACGCCATATCTCTGAAAATACCTCAGTGAGCGGGGTTTTTCAACACCTCGATCAAATGTGCCCATGCTCCGACCAAAGAAAAAAGACAAAGTGTCCAAGGATAGCTTCCATGGGCGCTACCTCCGCCATGATATCAAAATTGTGCTTGGCGACTTCAATGTCAGGGTGGTCAGGGAAGAGGTCTTTGGAACCACCATGGTGCACCATCAGAAAATCCAGCCTCCACGACGAAACGTCCGATAATGGACTAAGACTGATCGACTTCGCTGGTACCCAAACATCGTAGTATGCAGTACTAGGTTCAAGCATAAAAAAATCCATCAAGCTACGTAGCTGTTTCCAGTTCGAAAAACCAGAAACCAAGTCGATTATGCTGGCCGACGGGAAAACGGCCGAAAATTTTACCAGAGATTTAGGCGACGCGTACGGAAGGTTCCAAGACCGGAATGTCCTCCTGTAAGACAAGAATGAGGACCCACTGCCCGGTATCCACAACGTACTAAAATTATGGAGGGAACACTTTTCCACCCTATTGAATCGTAACAGCCACCGAAAGACGAACCCTAGCGCCCAGTCGATAATGACGGAGTCGATGTCATACCACCTCACTATGACGAGAAGCGAATAGCAATTACGCGGCTGAAAAAACAACAAAGCTTCTGGAGCTGACAGTCTGCCAGCTGAGCTATTCAAGTACCGCGGCGAGGAGCTGATAAGGTGCATGCATCAACGCTTATGCAGAACATGGTCAGAACAACGCATTCCCGACGACAGGAATTTAAGTGTGCTCTGCCCAATTCACAAGAAAGTCGACCCCGCATTTCGCGCCATCTACCGCCGGATCAGTCTACTAAACATAGATTATAAAGTCTTATCGAGCGTATTGTGTGAAAGACTGAAGCTCACCGCCAACAAACTGATTGGGCCTTATCAGTGTGGCTTTAGACGCTGCAAATCCACCATACGCCAAATCTTAGAAAACGCCAAATCTTAGAAAAGACCCGCGAGAGAAGTATCGACACTCACCACCTACTTGTCGACTTCACAGCCACTTCTCACAGCACTAAAAGGAATTGCCTATACGCCGCCATGTCGGAATTTTACATTAGCGCGAAATTGATACGGCTTTGTAAAATGACATTAGATAATTAATGGAGGCATGCACTGCGACCAGCAGGTCTATTGTGCCCTCAACCATTTACAGTACCTCATCTAATCCTAGAGAGCCCAAAAATTTGAGGAGATCCCCAGGGATTAGCGATTGTATAGCTTCGTTACTTGGCCAGTAGTGGCCCAGGTACCTCTCCCGTCTTCTCGCGACCGCCACGCATTCGCTAAGCAGGTGCACGGGAGTCTCCTCGGTCACGTCGCAGAAACGACATAGGTCGTTGGACCAAATCCCTAGCTTGTGCAGATGGCCTCTCAGTCTGCAGTGACCCGTCAGAAAACCTGTTATGATCCTTAGTTTTCCCTTGGATAGATTAATAACTGCCCTGTACCTCGTGAGGTTGTAGCCTCCCAGTAGTTGTTTTGCTTGACGTAAACCTGTAGTGACATTGAAAAATACCACCAACTCCAGATTTGGGAAACCCCTCTCCGAGCCGTTTGCTACCAAACGGGACTTCAGACAGCGTGACTCTGTTTCATGTGATTTCTTTAATCTGATGTTGGAGAAGATAATAAGAGCTGCAGAGCTGAATCGCTCAGAAACAATTTTCTACAAGAGATTGCAATTGCTGGCGTACGCCGATGACATTGACATCATCGGTAGCAAGAACCGCGAATTTCCAATTTGGATAAGGGAGCAAGGCGATTGGGTCTGGTAGTTAGCGAGGACAAGCCGAAGTATCTCCTGCCAACAAACAAATATTCAGCGCATTCGCGCCTTGGCACCCACGTCACTATTGGCAGTTATACATAATTTCGAGAAAGTAGAGAATTTAGTTTACTGGGGAACCAGCATTAACACCGATAGTAATGTCACCACCGAAATTCAATGGAGAATCACCCTTGCCAACAAATGCTACTATGGAATGAGTAGGCAATTCAGAATTAAAGTCCTCTCTCCAGCAGAAGCATGAACAATGACAACATCCAATGAGGTGGCTCTTGCAGTATTGGAGAGAAAGATTTTGCGGAAGATTTACGGGCCTTTACGCGACGTTGGCGACGATGAGCTGTATGAGCTTTACAAGGACATGGACGTGGTCAGCTGGGGGTAGCAGAGGAAGAGAAGGCCCCCACTGCGAAGGAGAGACCAAGTGTAGAAGGGCTTGGACTCACTTGGCATTTCCAATTGGCACAGAAGAGATGAACGGTTAAGTAGTTTATATTTAGCTACGATCTATTATAGCACGAAAAATTGTAGTTGAAAAGGTAAGTTTATGAAAAGGCATTGATGAGTGGCAACACTGTAGTAAGCAACACTGAGGGCTCCAGTAATCGAAAAAACTCTGCGTATACAGACTGCGTTTAAGTATACGTTCTGCGTTCCTGACTAATTTCAGCTTAATTGCAACTGAAATTACGCAAATCGGTTTCGAGAAATAAATTCAACTTGCTCGTACTGCACTAGCAATTTTCATTTTTGCTGCAAGTGCTGTCATACTAATCGAGTGTTGCCGTGTGACGCGATTTTTGCCGAATTTGTCCAAGATTTTGAAAATGTTGCATCACATTTAATAAAATAGATACTTGTAATTAATGTATTCTCCTGATATGAACAATTCAATTATATTAGGATAAGACATTTTGTGGTTGTGGTGGTTTCGTGCGCATTTTAGCATTTTTAACAAATTTTTCAGGTCAGGGCCTGTGTCAATTGATAGAAAAGAGGAAAGTTTGATCGATCAAAGTAACACTTTAGCATTTTTCGTGGTGAATACGAACGTCCAATGAAAGCTGAAAAGGCACAAAAGAGCGTACATTACTTGCAAGTTATATAATAAATATAAAATTTAACAATTTTAGCAACACACAAAAATACCGATATTTAAGTTGAAATTTATTTTTGATCTACAAAAAAGTGTATGGGAAAATATTAAAGTAGGTTTAATCAGCAGCTTGTGTGATTTATTTAGCTTTTAAGTTTGACAAACCGCTTGAGTCGACCGGCATGCCGTTTTAGTCCTCAGTAAATATACAAGACGGAAATAACACAATTAGGTGAGTTGATAGGCAGGTCTAATATTCTATTCAATTGTCAACATCGATGAATTAAATCGATTCATGATATCGATACTTTCTTAAATATCGAACATTCCTAGCCTGAACTGTATATGACAGTTTTACCAGTTTTCATCTTAAAAGCGCTCCGGTACTTTTTGGTTTTTGACAGTTTCAAAGGTTTATCCAGCAGAACAGTTGAGGAACGAAACTAAAAGAAAGTTGGCGCCATCTAGGTGCGAAATGTGGTATTAAAACTCAGCTAAAAAGTGGCATCACCTGAAATTCGGACGCTTTGACAACAAAAAAAAACAGAAAATTCACGTGAAAAGAAATTTAAAAGATTAAGGAAAAGCGAGTTATATCGCCTTTCCAAGTGTAAAATTAAATTGGGCGTGCGTTTGATAGGGCATCGAACCAGTGCGGTTTTCTTATATATTTATAATCTAATTGCATGAAGTATTAATTTAATCGTTGAAAAATTGTTAGCAAAAGAACGGTGGTGCGCAAACCAGATTGGTACATTGTTTTTGGCATAGACTATTTTGGATTTGGTCACGAAGCTTTGACTACTAGTTGCAAAGTGTTTGGAATTCAGGTCATACGAGCAGGTAAAGACATATTAGTTAACTTGTTCAAACTCTAAATGGCTGCGAAAATATAATTATGTAGCGGCAAAATTGGTACACTGTTCTTATTTTAATTTATGTAGCTGTTATCAATTGCAGAAAAGTAAGCAACCGATATCGTGGAAAGTAAGAAAGTGGAAAACGTGGAGGAAACTAACCGCCAAAGCAAAAGAAACAATAGCTCCCGCCGAGAGAAAATCGGGAAGCAAGCAACAG